AAACTGGCATAGGTGTGTATTGAAATTTTTATAGCATTTTATTTTTTTAAAAACATGATTAGTGACTTTGACAAAATATTTGCCACAATAAAATATTCCAAGCAATTTACTGTAACTGCATAATAACATTAAATTTGACATTCGATCACATCTAAATAATTGCACATCACGTGATTTCAATATGTTTATTGTTTTTAAAAATAATGTGAATTATGATTGCTATATTCGTTTAATATATTCGCGAATTAGTTTTTATCATAAATATATTTTACTGTCTTCGAAAAATAAGTGAATTAATGTTCTCTGATTTGTATTGATCAAGAAATAAATACAATTTTTTGACAGTCCCGGCTTTTGTTATTTTTATCATCTTCCAATTTGTCTTTGTGAGAGTCCAATTAACCCCGATTGTTAAAACAAACCATCGAAGTATACAATCGAACTCCCCTTTCACAATCATTTTAATTTGACACCGGTGAAACGTAAAATGAAACTACGAAACTGGATAATATTGAAATAAATTATTTTTATAATTTATACCATTTTGTGATGTACAAACTGAAATGTTTTTTGTTTTGTATTATTGTTGGGTTTTCTCAAAACAATAAAATCTTGTCGTTTATTATGCGTAATAGTATTCAGGATTTTCAATGTTCGCTACATTTGATTAGTGTTAAGCATAATGTAATTATACAGGTATATCATTATTGTAATATTATATTATTCGGAATTATATTATTTGATAAATAATTAGGTAAAAAATGTTAATAACTTCATGAAGATGAATAATATTGTGTTACCTACCATTCAAGGGAAAAACAGGTAATTCGTTTGTTCACATAAATTATTTTCCCCTAATACAATTAATATCTATTGTAATAACGATGATATTATGTATCATTTTTGGTTTTCTTCGATAAACGATTAAACGAGCTTATAATGGCATTACCTTATCGAATAGAATAGCTACGAATATCATATTATGTGTCGTTGAACTCCACTACGTTACGTGAAAAAAAGTTCATTGAGCGTAGGATGTTTTTGAACTTTTATCTCGGGTCGTCTGGGGACGTTTGATTCGAAATAACTATGAAATAATGGAACACACAACCACACGCGGCACGTACCCACAACATATTCTGACATCTCAAAAGTAGGCACGTAAAACATATATATATATAGGCAAATACTGTTTTATAACATAATGTGTTCGTGTGTGCGCGTGCAGCTTATAATATTACTACAATATGGTTCGTCGATTTATTTCATCCGTGTCGACAGGGTCCGGCGCGACGTGTACCTGCGCCGGTTGTTTTCGTATCGATAGTAATTGGCAGAAAAAAAGAGGAAGAACGAAAGAAAACCGACTACAACAAAAAATAAGCCGTCGGAACATCTCGGTCGTGGACTTAGGCTTTTTCCGCTCCACGAAATTGTTTCCACTCGCACACCCATCGAATCATATACCTATATATTATGTACACATGCGCATTACGTGTACCGCACATACACCCACATACATTTGTACCTTCATGTATATACCATATATACATACATACATACATACATATATATATATATATATATATATGCTTACAAACATTCGTACCTTCATATATACGAATAAATATAATATACCGGCCACAGAACAAATAATATCCTGACGTTTGTGATGTCGGCTGGAGCAAATAAAAAGTTAGTTCGGAAAACAACAAGCACGTATATATGCTGCACTTGGGTATTATGGGCATTAAAGGCGTATATATATATATATATTTGTGTGTGTATTATACCGCTGTAATGTCCTGTCATGGAATCCGAGACGTTTAAGGTTTGTTTTCAATTGTTTTTTTTTTCTCAAAAGAAAAAACACAAAACAGAAACGTTACCTACCGAGTTTCTCGTCTTACTAACCGTTTTAATATAATAATAATAATATTATAAGTCCATTGCTGAACGAGACGACCTCGCGAGATCAGAGTCGACATATCTCGCGGCCAAGAGGTCCAAAAGCCGACGGACAAATGTTTGAAATAACAAATTTTGTTATTGACAGACCGTAATATTTGTGTCGCCCAAAACGTACACACGAGCTATAGCCTCGAGGCAGCGCGGTCAATGTGCCAAACCGATGTACAAAGCGGAAAAACGAATTATTTTATATTCATCAAATTTATTGCCATTTCAAATATTATTATTGCTATTCGTTTTATAGTCAATAAAAACCCGATCGCCATGTCCAAACAGTGCCCACTCGTATTATATATCTGTGAACGTACCTTCCTATAATATCATTGTGTCGCCGATTGTAATTTCGGAACGTGTGTGATGATGCGCAAAAAAAAAATTCAGGCGCTGTCGATCACTGGGCGGGGTGAATAATTTCACGGTGACGCCATTATTCCTGCACTCGTCTGGCTATTCGTAAAAAATATTTAACAACCATGATCATGCTTCTATCATGCACACATTACATAGTTATGTTTTATATGGCCTGCGACGTATATCATAGTATTAAAATAGTTTAAATAATGATTGGGTTGACACTGTTTTTTGGGAATCCTGTTTTATAGTAATTATTATTTTAAAGTTCTGTTCGGAGAAGAGAAAAATAATGGTTAAGTTCTCGGCAGCCCCAAAAACGTCCATCCTCGCCATCCGCACAGTGCTCATCCCCCCCCCCCCACCAACCACTGACGAAAACGGTGGATCGCTGACGACACAATAATAATACAGTTTAATATCGTCATACGGATGCAAACCCGAATCAAAGGCGCACCTAACCTAACCGAACGACACTGGGAATCCATAATATCATAGTATTACCCACACCGATTTCCCGTATAATACGCTTTCCCGGATATGAAGTGTCGGAAAAATGATTATGTACATTATATTATGATTATTATTTATTTTTTGCACGATTTTTGGTATCACCGGTGGAATTATATTATGTCGAACCTTAACTCCTACCCTTGTTGTTATTGTATGATATTATGTACGCGTGTTCCGAGCTATTGTCGTTAATCATCCATGAATAATGATCATGTGTAACCATTTAAGAAAACAAAAAAAAAAAATTTAAAAGAACGAAGAATAAGAAAAAGAAGAAGAGGAATAATGTGAGATACACCGCGGCGGAATACGGTGCTTGCGGTAACTTTAATCATATACGCGAGTATTTTCCGGCATTTTTTTTTCAGTTTTATTTTATTATAATGATACTGAAAAAATTCAGGCATTTCTAAGAAATTTATCACCACATTTCCGTGGCGTGTGTACCACATTTAGCTCTCGGGGTAAACGTATATAAATACGAACAATAGTCTAAATTGATAATTTATGAATCCGACGTTTTCCACTGCGGTTTAAAAATAATATTCTTTATGCGTATTATATTATTATGTGTGTAGGTACCTACCTAATACACGCGTAAGCAAAATGAAAATTGAGCTCTTTATGAATGCCCTGGGAACTTAACAATTTGTGTGACTTGTGCGTTGATAATAAATGTATAAAGCAAATTATATTTTTATACCGTGCCGTTGTGTCGTTGTTAAACAACGATATGCAAATGTTACCGCACCCATACCCGGTTACCTGTATGCACCGAATTCGCGTACGCTCCTCGAAATTGCTTTTGATTCGATTAATCGCCGTCACCTATACATTCTACCAATCGTTATAAAATGTTGATTTATGTCGATTGCGGGGTACGGCGAAAACGCTCGTATTTATAAATCGTCCGCTCCTGAAATATGTATATATTGTCATCATATGCAGGTATGTGTACACGACTTGGTATTTACAAGTGAGAGGTGATGACTTAAGTAAATAGACAATACGTCGAATAACAATGCCATTACGACAACAAATCAATGTGTTCGAATAAATATATTATACAAATATGCGCACCGGTGCCTATATTATAATATATATATATATACATATATGATATAATTTATTATTTATAGCCGAAACTCGATTATAATATTATGGCGTTTGTCGGAGACGAGATAGAAGTTTCCGGGTTTTCTATTTAAGCGCGTCTGACAACTTTCCAGGTGATTGATTTCGATTATTTAGTGAGTAGAGTTGTTCTCGACAGACAAATTCGAAATTTTGTCAAATCCCTCGCAATAATCATAATACAACCAATCGCCATTATCACGAAACAGCACACACAATACTCTGAGACGCATCGCGCACCCGCTGCAGGCGATAATGACACCAATAGATTTGTCATATCTCTATGTGGAATTATACTTGTCGCGACGACCGATGTTTTTTTTGCCAATAATTGAGTATAATATTATTTAGTAACATGGTATAAGTACTGATTAAGTGATAGTACCGCTATAATACCGAGGCCGAACTTTTGCCAAATCTACTATTGTACCGTATTATCAACCCTGGGAAAGTTAATGATAATTTTCGATTGAGCTAAGACGATAGAAAACATTTAAAAAAGTTTAAAGTTAATAATTATGCAAATATTTTTTAACTCGGATAAGTTGAAAGTTATATCAAAACTTACGATATTAACTTCTTAACTGGATTTATTAAAAGTACCTCGTTATTTATTAAGCTTATATCAATGAAAATTAAATTTTAATATTATGTTAAGTTAAAAAAATTAAAATTAACTTGACTTAAAGTTTTTTAACTCGTTTACGCTCAGACTTGCATATTATTATGATATATTATGTTTCGATTTGTTCTCATCGCTACTGCAGCCAGCCGAGATCGTTTAACTATTAATTTGATCTTTGATCGACATTGAATGTCGACTCTGAATCCGGAACACGGCGATGCCGCGCTTACGTAACTCGTGGTCGGCGACAAACATCATAATGAATGTGTTTGTTTTTCTTATCAATTTTATCGCTCAATTTGAACGCCGGGCCGCGGTGTATTATTCTTAATCACAACGTTAGGCGAGTTCATCCGATAACAAATAAAACCAAAGGTCCCTCCCATTTAGACTGCACTGTCGTTTTGATATAAATATACGTCCCATCCGGTGAGTTAAATCAGTATTGCTCGAGACACCGTCAACAGTGATACAGACATAATAATTCGCTGTGAATTCTCGTTCATACACATATCATTTTAATATTTCATCCAACAACACACAACAACAACAATATGGTCGCCTGCAAATTGATTTTGGCCGTCGCCTTCGTGTTCGTAGCTGTTGTTCAAGTAAGCATGCTATTAAATTAGTATTATTATGTCGTCGTCATTTAAAGTACTATACTTATACGGTAGCTGTAGACTTGCAATTGGCACATTATTATTGTTTCGTTTTTTCCACAACATCCTCGTCGATCAAACGAGTGCCGTTGTATACGATGTCAGAGATAATTGTTATTCGCATTACAATAATATTTACCTAACTAACAATTCAAACGTAATCGAAAATAACCTAATATCGTGCCGATTTAGATCCAGAGTAGACCCGGCGCCGATACCGAATGGAGTATACCGTTCGAAGATGAACTCAAGAACATGTCGAAACAAATTTCCAGTTTTGTCGGTGATAACGCCGAGTACCAGACCGCTGCCAAGAACGGTCTGAACACCTTCGTCGAAGGATTCAAAGGCGAGCTTGGACTCTTCACCAAATCGGTATGTAACGAAATATTTATAAAAATTTATTATACAGTGACATTTTGATGTAATACTCGTGTCCGTCGTTGTGCGTTATTAATACATCACTGACATTTTTTAAGTTTTTTTTCTAAACGACATTTTTTTTTTACGTGCAGTTCGATGGCAAAACCGGAGTGTCCGACCTGTTCAAGGACTCCACCAAGCAATTCCAAACCACCATCGACAACTTCGTCAAGACCTTACCTAAGGATCTCACATTGAAGGACTTCAACGAAAAAACAGAACAGGCACTTAAGTACATGGTGGAACACGGCACTGAGATCACCAAGAAAGCCCAAGGAAACACCGAGGTTGAGAAGCAAATCAAGGATTTCATTAAGAAAAACATCGATTCGCTCCTTGAAACAACCAAAGCCGTCCAAGTAAATAAAATATATATATTTACAGTATACATACAAACGAAATATTGTTTTCTATAGTTCACTTTGTATAATAACCGTTTTATTTCTATGATTTTAGGCTAAGATCACTGAAGCTAAGAAAGCCTAAGATGAACAAGTCTGAGGGACGTTGTACCAACTATGTCAACCGTAAAACGATAGCTGACAGTTAATTTATTGCTTTTTAATTTTATAATATTGTAATTTATTTCACCTTTACAAAATCAAATATTAAATTTAACAGCTTTTATACTTTATCGGAGCTTTGTTATTATTTTGTCGACCGAAATATCGTTTATAAATAAACGATGAATCTGTTTCTGTGTAAAAGTAATAACGATAATGGTATCCCCCAACCTATATTTTAACGTTGGAGAACAAAATATAAAAAATATTTTTATTCCTCGTCGCTGTCCCAAATATTAATTTTATTTTGAATTACGAGAAGTATATATGATAGTCACTATACTATAGTTATTCGTACTACCCACTGATTGTTCTAATTAGTACTTTAAAATAATAATATATAAATAAATCGTGATTTAGTGATTTTTTCAGTAATACCAGTAAATATAATTATATATATGTATCCAACATTTAATTGAAATCAACGAAAATTGGGCAATTAAAATAATGATTAAGCTACAATAATAACTATTATTTTTATCATAATATCATAATTCGGTAATAATTAGTAAAATGTACACAATTATTGGAAAAATGTGTTCATTGTGAAGTATAAAATAATAATATGTATAAGCGCAGTTGAGTGTTTGGCTAAACGTGTAGGCAAAAAACCCGTTAAAATATTGTATAATATATTATATAAATATTATCATAACAATATTATAACAAAATGCAAATCGGAGCTTATATTTTATATCGCGGCCACTATGAAACCGCTTATTATTTTTTGCTTAGATTTTCGTAATTTTACCGAAGTATTATAATGAATTTTTTGTTCCTTAAATTTTTGCTCTTTCGTTAACGCAGTTTCGGACCCATTTTTTATAGACATAAATCTGATCTGAAGTGTCAAAAAAAAATATTCACATCTAATATTATAATATAATATTATATAATACAATAACGATTCCTGACAAATTACCTTTTTTTCTCCTAAGACGTATTATATAATAATATACAACATTATACGGTTTAATGAAAAATAATAGACATTAAAACCCACTTAGGATCGAAAGACGCGGAAAAAAAACATAGTTAAATATTTAGGTTAAAGGACGGAATTCAAAAATAATAATATTACTATGTAAGTCTATGATATTATTCGCCTCGTTGATCAAAATATATGTTTACGTTTCCGTATCTAATGTCTTACAATAATGATATGACTTACGAGTACTATATATACGTACATGACTAACATATTGTTACGACTGCAACTAATTTAGTGTACGATTTTGTCTGTACCATTTCGTTTTTGTTTGTAACGTATATTCAATGTCAACTGACTCAGTTATCTGCTCCCTTTTCAACCTTTGCAGGCTCTTAAAAGTGAATAAAATAATAAAAAAATATTTATGTAACATTGACACTATATACAGGTTGTCATCGTATCTCAAGCATACGTCATTATTTTTCAGACCAAAGTCAGAACTCGGTCCGAATGATCATATTATATGTATATATATATAGCGTATTACACTGTAAAATGTGTACTTTATGCCTGATAAAAAATTTAAAAAAAACCTTAGAAATCCGCGCCCTGCTCTCTAAAAGTGGATAAATATAATATTATTATCGATCTCAACTCTCCATTCAAAATGTAGGTACGTTCTCGACGAGAAAGAGTAAATGTGTTTAAATATATTTACGCTGGTTCAGCGGATTATAATAACATTATGTTGTGCTCTATGTAGATTCGTTGCTTTGTTAAGGTTGTGCAAAACGGTAATCAATATTATAGTGTTCTTATCAACACGTCGATACACGAACTCACAACGGTTTTAGATCGAAATAAAAGTTATTCTGTTAAATCGGTGAACATTTTTCCAATGCTGCAGCCGATGCAGTGTCTTCTGTGAACCATTCAATTTACAACAAGACAAGGTTTTTTTGTGCATCGTTTTTTTGTAAATTTTTTACGAAAAGTGTTTAACGTGCACTATTTATTTGTAGGTGCGATTAAACGGCCCACTCGTTAATATAACTCTAACAAACATAACGCATAGGATGGGTATACCGTCGTCGGTGGTATGAAGTCGAGTAATATGTTTATTCGTTTTATTTGAAGAAATAATATTATATACTATATATATAAATATTGAGCCCAATGTCGCCGCGTTGCTGACGAGAAACTAACTCAAGTTTTTAAGCGGGTTCGACTTTTAAAACTTTTCTTCCCTTTTGGATTCTGCAGGGTGAAGTGGTGGCGAAATTATTGGCTTTTCCAATGATGTGTGCTGTTTGAACGGTTCATCGGAAACCATTTTTTCTTCGTCGTAGTAAAAACACAGCAGCTGCAGTAACCAGCAAACCGCAATAATACTTATATAAATATATAGGTATAGTTTATTCGGAGGATTTTCCGATCACGTTCATTCTCATTTTTTTTTTTTTTTTTAGTTTATAAATCCATTCAAATTCCGATTTTTGTAGTTTTTAAGTGTTACTACACACCTGTAATCCATATTTTTCAATAATTTAGATTTTTTTTTTTTAAATTTAGGGAAAAATAAGAACCAACCTTTTGTTATTGTAAAATATGTCGCTGAGCAGATTTTTATTTTGAAAAATGTGATGTACTCAAACAAAATTCGAACTAATAGTTTCTGAGTTATTAAATTATAAATAGCAAGGAAAATACTATTTTTGCTAGAATTGGTTATACAAAAAAATAATATATTATATAATATATAACATAATTATTGTGAATACATAATAATCTAATATCTATTTAATTAGTATATTAAACATTATTATACTGAGGTAAGTAATATTTACGAAAGATAAAATACTGATAATTTATTATATTAATAGCTATAACTTTCGAATCATTAAAATATTGATTTAATCGAATTTTTAAAAATAGTCATCTGATAATCACGGTTCACAAGAAACGAATTTGATTTTCGGTTGAAAAATAAACAAGTTGGTGTCACGATAGAACGAAACATCTAATGTATTTGAAGCAATGACAAAGATCAGCATTTGAAGAAGTTAGATCATGAGATTACTAGATTAAAATTTGTGGGATTATAAAAATATGGATGGGGCACATGGTTGGAGTATCAACTTGTGTTTAATATGAAAAATAAGAGAAGCACGCGGTTCGAATAAATATGAACAACAAACACACAATGGGGTAAAAAGCCATCTTTGCAATTTTATTATATATGTAGGTATACCGCCTACAGTATTTTTAATCATTTTTGTTCGACAAAAATTACTTCGTCATTGCTGATTCGTCGTCTTATGCATTTTATATTTTGATCAATAACGGTGGCATCTAATTTATACCAATGATTTTAATAATATTATTATTATCTGCCAGTCGGCGACGATGATAACGATTCAATATTGGAAGTCACTACAAAATAATTTTCTATTTTAATTCGTATGGAGGTTAATGTAATAATATTAATGAGGTATACGGAAATGAGCGACGTTTGAACGTTCTTAAAATAATTAATCATAATCTATATTATGATATTCTCTCGATTAATATTATTATTAATTATTTTTAATTATTCAAGTACAACATATTTGTTTCATACTGAAAAATTGATATTTAATTATGTATAATAAGTACCAACGAGCAATGTATGTACAGCTGACTAAAAATCGAACAACTTACATTTTTTTCTATGTGTAGAATAATCAACTTGCGAACGTTAATTTAACTTACATATTTCATACTAGTTTAAGATAAATAAGAAATTTCGTCGCATAAGATTAGTGCTTACGTCCTACAACTACTCAGAAAAATTAATTTATTGCATGTCGATTAAGCGTCACATATAGCTTATTGTCAGGCTCTCCAAGGAAAAATGTAAATAATTAAATTTGTTAATAGCAATATGACCTTAACGTTTTTGCTAGTACCCCGCGCTCAGCATCAAATGTTGTACACTGTACCTTTGGATTTTATTTTAAGCATTTTTTTTTTTAAATGTGTAAATATAATTTATTAATATGATACAAATTAATATAATATTTAACGGTGTGACATTTTCAAAAAATTATGAGTTTCAAAAAAAGTAAATGGTTTTCAATACTTGCTGTAGTATAAATATATTATTCTTATTGTTAAAATATAATAATACACGTATTACAATTCGTACGAGTACATATGGAAGTATAATATATAAAAGTAAGCAGAAATACCTGACGAATAAAAAATGAAAAATTGATAGTAGGTGAATGCATGAAAAAAATTATGAGAATGTACTTATGTTTAACAATTTTCAAGGAGAATATTTTGAAAAAAGTTTCACGTTTCAAATTGACTTAATTCAAACAAAAAAAAAAATATTATTTTACATTTTTTTTTTTTAATATTGATGATAATTTGTAACAAAAGTCGTTTCATTGGTCGGGTAATTCTGTTACACACTTTGTATTGTAGTATTACGACGGTCCAATACTAGTCTGATTTTTAATATACTCATACGAATTCATAATAAAAACAGAAACCCCATAGCGATATCACACGTGGCTGGCAGTACAATTTTTGTCACGTCGACTTTTTGTTTCGATTCCATTCAATTGACCCCGCCTTTCATAATGCAGTCTCAACACTCGACAACTACAAAACCATCTTACAAGAATGTCTTACGGTCGACGATTCCAATGATATACTTCGATATTGTGATTGAAGTATTATGTAGAGGTCATCTGCCATCCGTGTCGTGTGCTCCGTCACAGGAATACGAACACATTATATTACGTCGTAATGTGAGAGAACTGCACACAACTGCAGTGTATATAGCTCCATACTTTTACGTTACGATGACTTACAATAAACGTTTTTATCATCAACATTTTTTGAAGGAAAAAATGTCATTAAATTAAAATGTACCTAGGTACTGTACTTGTAGCGCAAGCGTAATATTGTTTAAAATGTATGACAAAAGTTATTTCGTAAATCTGTTACACACCTCGAATAGAATAACTGCAGTCTAATTATTAGTGTGATTCTCCTCATTTTCGCACGAATTCATTACATAACAGAGAACCGCTCTTTTCGACGATTTCTTTTCGATTCCATTCAATCGACGCCGCCTTTCATAATACT